TATATAACCTGTTTGTTTTTTGCGATTTACTATGGCAATCCAAATTTTCTATTTTTCAATAAAGTGGTCAAAATTTAAAATGAAATTTTTTTTGTTTGTTTTCCTGATTCGTTGATTAATAGAAAAAATAAATGATTAATCGATTGTTATAATAATCGTTAGTTGCAGCTCTAATGGTGTTACATGATCTGTTAGCACTTGGAGTATGAGTTGTGAATGACGGTCTGCAACAACTAAACCAACATTTAGTTCAATGAGCGTTATTGTTATAGCCCATGAGCTGTGGTGTTCATCTTCAGTTAGGTTGTTTGCTAAAATTAATCAGTTGTAGATGTCCAGCTAATAATTATTTTGAGATTTTCAATAAAATGTTTCACAATCTATTTTGATACCAATAAACACACAAAATAAAAGTAAATAAAAGTTCAAATTGTGATTTGCTAAAAAGATTCATATACCGGTAAGTCAACATCATCTGGTAAAACTGGTTCAGTGAAAATGCACTGATTCTTTTTAATTAAAATAAATCTATTAATGTTTACTGAGTAACTAACCACAACACAAACTTTTCATGGCACTGTTCATTGAATTCGTTATAAAACACAGTTTAAAGCAGATCAGATATTTTCATGAGTAAATGTAAAGGTTTTATAACTTTCATTAGATGAGTAGAAATAATCTGATGAATGAACATGAAATCAGTAAAAAGGCTTCACTTCAGATTCAAGCTACTGTATATAATCCCACAGCTCAATCATGTGAGAAAAGTTCACACAGAAAAAGTCAACAAAAGTTTTATTTAAAAAAACGCAGCCTTTCAAACAAAACCATACAGTTAAAAGAGCAGTTTTCACATATGCTGCATAAAAAGACAGAATTTATTTTCACTGTGTGACTTTAAGAACAACATGGACAAAGTTTGTATAGCAGCCATCACAAATCCTGATCTCAGTCTCACAGATATTTTGAAGCAGGGCTTCCAATTTTAACGTGTTTGACACAAAGTTATTCAGTTATGGATGTTAGTTAATGTGAGTTTCACTAAATACAGCTACTGGTTTAGGAGCTATTTTGCTAAAACTGCAGATAACTGACCACACACAGGCAACTGCTCTGTTACTACAGTAAACCTTGAAAGTAAAAGAACATATTAAAAGAAAAAGAAAGAAAAAGAACATGACTAAGAAATGCAGACTATCATAAATGATTTATTTAATAATATAGAAATAAAAATATAGTTTTACTGTTAGCACAAAGAAAATTTAGCATTTTTAATCTAACTGCTGAACTAATAAAATATTTTAATTCAATTGTCAATTGAGCTTTTCTTTAATCAATGAAAACAGCAAAAGTGGCAAATTTACTGATATACAAATGCAAAATTTAAACTTTCASTATTTATGTACACAACAATGGGGAGGACATTAGAAGCAAACCAAACAAATGCTGAAAAGATACAGTCAGACTGTTTTAGTAACTGCTGTAATGTTGCTGCATAGGGATCCACGATTAGTTGTAACATTAGATTTTAATTAATAAACATATATTTTAACTGTAAAATAAAGACTGTAAAAATACTGTAGGCTGTTTAGTTTTTATCATTTTTAAACTAAAAGTTTAAAAATAT